CAGCAATTCTTGAACTGGAGGAACGCACTTTCCCTGAAACTCTTCACTCTCACCAGGCAAAAATGGGTGCAGAACAACCCCATTCCCGTCCCCGCCCTCACGCTACTCGTCTTCAACAGATAACACTCGGGCCCACACTCTGCTCCCCTCCCCTGCACCACCACCCCCCATGCCCTACTCACCCCATCCGCCTCTCCGCCTGCCCCACCACCGCACCTTCCCTCTTCCTCCGCCGCCTCTTCTTCCCGGAGCGCTTCCACGAAGATCAGCCCGTCAGGGGTCTTCCTCTCCCCGCTCTCCCACTCCCGCTTCACCGCCGGCCACTCCTCCACGACGGCCCTCTCTGTTCTGGTATCCGCCTCCCCTCCGCCGTCCTCCTCCTCCGAGTACACGTGGACTAGCAGCGGCGCTCTATTCAAGTTCTTAACAATTTCGCCGACCGATCCGCGCATCCACCGGTCCAGATTCGCCGCCGCGATTTTATTCTCATTCCCGCCCGCTTCTTCTTCGGCGGCGAATAGGCCCTTCCGGTCCGTCGGCGAAACGGCGCGGAGATCGCACGGCGGGGAGCAGGTCGCGTAGACGCGCTGGACAGGGATTCTCGTTGAGATTGGGGTAAAGTGAACCGGGTCGGGTTTGGATCGGAGCGGAGCTCGATTGCCGCGAACGAGTGAATAAGGGTCGGTGGCGGCCCCGGCGTGAAGACTGAGAGACGCCATTGTTGACCGGAGAAAAGATGGAACTCGATTACTCGAAAAAGTAAGAAGCTTCGCCGAGATTCGCCGGACGAATTAGGGATTCGGAATTTGATTTGGGGAAGAGTCTGTAATAATTATATAATGAATGTGGTTGCGTAAAGGCAGATTGAAGCTTCGTGCGGGGGAGACTATATAATTTGGAAGCCATGCGGCGAATTGAGGAAGACACGCGATCGCGGCGTGAATTTCATGATTGCCACGCGCTTTGCTTATGTGGACTGCATATCTGGCACGGTCTTTTCGATGACATGGCATTTGTCTTCCACGTCATCAGCTTTAATTTCTTTGTTCTGTCCGGACTCCGGTGCATTTGATAAAAAGAGATTGGTTTCTGACTTTCCTCTTTCCTCCCTCAAATAGAAAACTTCTCTTCTTCAAGATAAAAAGAGATGTGTAGTACCAAAATCCTCTGGATAATAATGGTTAAAACTTAAAATCGGATGTCTTGATATATTTACGAAACTACCCTCATTTGGGCCATTGAATGGTTGATGACATGTTGTAGCATAAGAGGTTTATTGCATCCCACATTATAAAAATAATCCGCTTTCTACAAATATTTTCAAAATAGTCTCATATTTCATTTTTTTTTGCTGAATTTTATTTCTTAAATTTTATCCCTAGACATTATTCTTATTCCTTTTTCATCTTTTCGTTTTATTTCATTTTTCTTATGTATTTATGAGATTTTTTTTATAAAATATTACTTTTTTTTCGTCTCATATTTATCTTCTAAAGTACAAATGACATGTGGATTAAAATAGTGAGTGTTGTGTGGCGGAGAGTTGTGCAGGGGGAAAGAAATGTGTAAGAAATGTTATGAAACACAAATTCTTTGTCAAAAGGAAAATATGAGATAATTTTGGGTTGGACGAAGAGGTAAAGTTTGGAAATAATTCTGGGACAGGGAGAGTACTAATAAAAAATTCATGGACAAAAATATGACTATAAATTATTATGAGTAATTTTATAGTGACTACGATGTAACATTTGAATACAATCATAGTAACTAAAGTTACTAGATTCATATTTTATCAACTACTTTTATCGTGGTTATATATTTGAAATTATTTCTTTATTTATTCTACTTTCCTTCTTGATGATTCTCAGAGGCATTTTTACGGGGTCCCAATTTCTTAACAATTTATTAATATTTCATAGTAATATTATATATTAATATTACTATATTGTAAAATATAGTTACTAAAAAGAAATATAGAGATCCTTCATTTTTTCCGTCAATCCTCTTAGTCCTTTTTTACTCAAATTGCTTGAGTAATGAGTGTTGTTTGAAATCAAGTATTAAATAACTTTAAAATTTGGCTTATTACATTATTTAATGAGTATTTAATTAATTTGAATATAAGTATGTGGGGTCTCGACTTTACATTTGGAACTGGTGTAACACCGTCCCCAAATATATTTACTTTTATGTAAATAGTGTATTGAACCATATTAAAGGATTTACGAATTTACGAAGTTGTAAATTCTTATTATTTCGTTCGCGTGAATAGTAAATTGCACGTGGGACCCACACCAGGGGCGGGGGCCGCCCGGCATTTCCGAGACTATATATTTTATTCATCTTGGTCTAGATAATAAATATATAGTGGTGGATATTTCATTTGGGCAATGGAAAGGCCCAGAGTTGACCGATTGGTCAAAAGAAGCCCAAATTACCGGTACTGGTAATTTAACAGATATCAGCCCGGAAATGAAATTCGGAGACTCCTAAATCAATGTTTTGGAATATATACTATTTCAAAAGTCCATTACGATTGAGGACACGTAATATATTTTATTTTACCCGATAAAATAAAATATGATTAAAACAGTCCGAAAAATACAACTTTCGGGACCGATTGTACACCTCGGGACACAAAGGGATGACCTCCCACATGAGTGGGGGCCATCCCACGTTTTATTAGCTCCATGTGACCCCTTGGGAGCTGCAAGGACAAGGGAAGGTGGGAGGAAGGTCAACCATGTGGTAGGATGGGACCCTTTTCCCCCATAATTGGTGAGATGAGCCAAAAAGGCCATCCTATCACCCCCTCACCCCAATAGCTCGACCAAGCCACCCAAGAAAGAGAAAGAAAGGCTCTCCAACCCTCCTCCATTGCTGCAACTCGAGCTCAAGCAAGAAAGGTCCAAGGAGTGGGATTAAAGAAGGAAAAAGGGCTAGGAAAAGTGTGTAAATCAAGGTAATGACCTTATTATAACTTCTCCTTTATTTTTCTTCTACCATATAAGATATATATCATGTGAAGGATCCTTAAGAGGGTTCTACATGTTATGAGTATGGATTTATGGGTTGGGAAGTGATTCTATGTCCAAGAACGGACTTAGAAGTCAAAACGACCGGTTCACCGGAAAATAACCTTTTTGAGGTTATTTGTATTAACATGGGTTTTATGATTATAAAACCTTGTTAGGCACTTGTAAAGGGTATTTCAAGTGATTTCACAAAGTTGGAAAAGTCGCCGGAATTGTCGCCGGAGTTGACCAAAAGTCGCCGGAGTTTCACCGGAGTTCAACCAAGAAGGGTAGAACTTCTTAACGCTAGTTCAAGGTGAGTGGACGGCTTAATATCTTATAACTTTTGGGTCAATTATGAGATTACCTAAATGAATGTTATATGTGTTCATAATGATGTTTAAAAGATATTTAAACATGTGATTAGCCAACATAGTTAAGTGCGTATGAAAAGAATAATTGTTTATGCATGAAATATGATATGAGAAATTATATATAATGCATATTTGTTTTAAGAGTAAAAGAAGCACAATGGAGATTATTAACTTAATTATATGATGAATTAGTTAATAAGTGTAAGACTTGAGATGGCGGTCAACAACAACGTTGACCGATGGTAAATGGATTAATTAATATCGGTTGATATTAGTTAATTATACATTTATATGGTTGCATGGATTTGCATGGATTGTGATACATAAGCTTTATGTAGTGAATTAGTTATGAATGACTAAATATGATATAGACCCTATCTAGCGTGATATGTGGTAAGTCATAGGTCGGGTGGAGTACCCAAGGATCGGGCGGTTATCCTCAAAACTCGGTTATATAGGGTGGAGTACCCAAGGATCGGGCGGTTATCCTCAAAACTCGGTTATATAGGGTGGAGTACCCAAGGATCGGGCGGTTATCCTCAAAACTCGGTTATATAGGGTGGAGTACCCAAGGATCGGGCGGTTATCCTCAAAACTCAATTATAGGGTGGAGTACCCAAGGATCGGGCGTGTATCCTCAAAACTCATAGATTTCAGTTAATGATCTAGGACCGGGCGGTGTCCTTATGATAATTTATTTGAACAAGGAGGAGTTCTATACACTCATAGGTATATGGGTGGGTTGGGATTTAAGTCAAGGATATTGGCAACTATTATTTTCCCAAATAAACAATGACCTACGGGTCGGGTATTTCCAAGTGTATGTATACTAATATGTATTTCAAACTTGGGGGAAGGATTATACGTATATGTATCACCCTATGTTTGGGTCCTATACTTGAAACGTTAGTTATTCTATATTTAGCCTGCTACTCGCTCGGTACTTGTACTGACCCCTTCGGGGGGCCCCACCATTTTCAGGTTGAAGCTAGGGCTTGCTACCTGCACCTTTCTACGGGTGACATCAATCAAGGAAGACGTGGTTCGTGCTTCCTCATTTTATTTCAAATTACCAAACATTGCTCATGGATATTTTTATTTGTCATAAACTATTCTTTTGGGGCTTGCATGCCCATGTTATTGGCCGATTGTGGCTTATGACTTACCGTTGAATATTTCCGCTATTCATTGGTTTAAATGTGATGTTGTTATGTATGTTTACTACTGAGTATGGATGGATTATTTTCTCGAACGCCTTGTGTAATCAAGTGAGGTTGACTCGCGGGTGACGTCACTTGATTATGCGGCGGTTGTACACGCGCTTGGATTGCGGTCTGGGGCGTGACAATTAAGTGGTATCAAAGCCATCTCAGTTCTAAACTATATAATCAACCTCTCACATGAGATTTTACGAAAGAGTTTTTACCGAAAACCATGAGCATTGGATTTTGACGTTATGGGACTATTGGAGCCTAAGTTGCAAGGCCTCTAATTGTTAAGACGGTACCCTTAACAATTGGTATGGTGGTGACTTAGACCAATACGTGTCTGTAACGTTCTTCCGTCAATTGACATTTATAGGAGTCTAATGACTCATCCATATTTCTTTCAGAAATGGAGGGCAGGCGAATGCGGACCAGGAACAATCCGAGGGGGCAGGCGCCGGTAACATCCCAAAGGGGAAGCCGGGCTGCATCTCGGGGTTCAAGAGGAGGCCGTGGAGGCCGTGGAAGCCGTGGAGGTCATCAAGCTCAAACTGTGAGTGATGGCCATGTAAGCTCGGTGTATGAAACCAACACCGAGGACTATGACTCTACGTATGTTCCTGAGACAGAGCATGAGGAGACCCCATATGATGGGGGTGACACATACACCGATGAGGACAATGATGAAAGTGATGCCCGCTTCGCCCAAATGGGTGAATTACTTGAGTGGTATCAAAAGGAGAAACAGAGGAGAGACCTTGGGCGCCAAGCGAGGCGTGGCTCTCGTGGTGGTTCGGGTCAAGGGAGCCGGGGAGCTTCCGTGGCCACCCCAGCGGCGTCACAAGGTGGGCGTGAAGGAGGTTTTGTTGTGAGAATCTCCAAGTACCTCAAGGAGGCTAGGGCCTTGGGGTGTAGGTCCTTTGACGGCACCGGTGACATTACCGTTGCCGCCGATTGGATTAAGAAGGTGAAGGATGCATCAAGAGACATGCAAATCACACCGGACGTGAAGTTGACTGTCGCTTCACGGCTACTTGAAGGGATAGCCTCTACGTGGTGGGAGAGCGTGGAAGGGAAGTACCATGGGGAAATAACATGGGCGGACTTTGAGCTAGAGTTCTATGCTCAATACTACTCCGAGTACGAGGTGAATGTGAAACGGAGAGAGTACACTAACCTCAAACAGAAAGATGGCGGCACGGTTAAGCAGCTGGAACAAGAGTTTAGAACCTTGGCGAGGTTCTTGCCAGAGTACGCGGTTGATGAGAACCGCATGACGGAGCACTTCTGGGATGCATTACTCTTGGACATCCGCGACCGAGCTACATACTCTCGCCACATGTCATTTAGCGAGGTGGTGGAACAGGGCCTTCTTGGAGAGGCCCAGTGGAATGAGAGGAAAGCAAGGGACGCCGAAGAGGCGAAGAAGAGGAAGTGGAATAATTCGGGGCCACCCGATCATTCTCGAAGAAACAACCACGGGGGTGGTGGTGGTAGCGGTGGTTCATTCAAGGCGCCGGCCCCACCGGCAAAGAAGAACAGGGATGCGAGGTGGCACGGACCTAGGCCACAGAACTCGGGGCCACCTAGATGTCCCAATTGCTCAAAACAACACTTTGGGAAGTGCAATGAACCACCGAGGTGTTTTAAGTGCGGGAATGCGGGCCATATGAAGGCCAATTGCCCTCAATTGATGCAAGAGAGTGCCTCGGGAGCCGGGGGAGGGACCATGACGGGAAGGAACCGTGCGGGACCGTCAAACGGCGGCACGGGAAGAGGCGGCGCATCCACAAGTCATGCCGCATCCGTCAACCAAGGTGGGACCCAAGCCCGAGTGTACGCGATGACCGAGGCGGATGCGAGAGCAAACCCGGACTCCGTTGCAGGTAATACACGTATTCCCATGTATTTCTAGGCTTACTTTGATCATATACGTCGTTGAGATTGAGTGCGGGCCACCCCGGGGTCGAACCGGGTGAGTTAGGCCAAATCGGACTGGAAACAGCCACTGCTGGCCAGGCACGCCCGCAGGCACGCCGTGCCTGGCGTCGTGCCTGGAGGGCAGTGGCACCCGAAGAGAAAGAAAAAAAAAAAAATTTTGGGCCAGGCACGGCCGCAGGCACGCCGTGCCTGGCGTCGTGCCTGGAAGGCAGTGTCGCCCCGAAGGAATTCGGCCAGGCACGGCCGCAGGCACGCCGTGCCTGGCACCGTGCCTGGGAGGCAGTGTTGAACAGGAAGGATCCGATGCACGCACGGCCGTGCGTGCCACCCAGGCACGCCGTGCGTGGACCCCAGAACCCGGAAATCGGATTTTTCCGCCCCGTTCTTCTACGTTTGGACTCCCGTTTGATTCCAAACATTAGTATGAGCCTAATAACCTCCTAAAGATGTGTAAAAACATTAGAAAATGTATCTTACATGGTGTATAAATGTAGGAACATTAAAGATCAATGGTAGGTGTGCGAGGATCCTCATCGATACCGGGGCACAACGCTCATTTGTGAGTGAGGCGTTCGCCGAGGGCTTTGACGTGCCATTGACACCTATGACTCAAACGTTGCTAGTCTCCACACCGTTAGGAGACGACGTGGAGAGAAATCATTACTATCCGTCGTGTGAGGTAGAAGTGACGGGTCAACCTTTGACTTGTGATTTCGTACCTCTAAGCATGTTGGAGTTTGATGCAATCCTAGGAATGGATTGGCTCGAGAAACACCATGCCCGGGTAGATTGCTACACCAAGGTGTTGGAGCTCGAGGATGATCAAGGGAACACGCTATGTTTCAAGGGAGATCGGGGGAAATCTAATGCTTGTATCATATCCGTGATGAGGGCACGAAAGATGATGAGGAAGGGATGCCACGCATACCTTGCATATGTGGTAGATGATACGAAGAAGGAAGTCGACATCAAGGATGTTCGAGTCGTGTGCAAGTACCCGGACGTCTTTCCCAAGGACCTACCGGGGCTTCCACCCGATAGAGAGATTGAATTTGTAATCGAAGTGGAGCCGGGAACCAAACCCATTTCGATTCCTCCTTATCGAATGGCGCCGGCCGAACTCCAAGAGTTGAAGGTCCAACTACAAGAATTACTGGACAACGGGTTCATCAGACCCAGTCATTCACCGTGGGGAGCACCCGTACTCTTCGTAAAGAAGAAAGATGGTACACTTAGAATGTGTATCGACTACCGACAGTTGAACAAGGTCACCATCAAGAACAGGTATCCCTTACCGAGGATTGATGACTTGTTCGATCAACTTCGAGGGGCAATAGTGTTCTCGAAGATTGACTTGAGGTCGGGGTATCATCAGTTGAAGATCAAGGAGAGTGACATACCTAAGAGTGCATTTCGCACTAGATATGGTCATTACGAATTCCTGGTGATGTCGTTTGGTTTAACCAACGCACCGGCGGCATTCATGGACTTGATGAACCGTGTGTTTAGTGAATACTTAGATCAATTTGTGATAGTATTCATTGACGACATCTTGATATACTCCAAGAGCGAGGAAGAGCACGAACACCATTTGAAGCTTGTACTTGATCGGCTAAGGGAAAAGCAACTCTTCGCCAAGTTCTCCAAATGCGAATTTTGGCTCAAAGAGATTGGTTTCCTCGGTCATGTCATATCCGGTTCAGGTGTTGCTGTGGATAACGCCAAGATAAAAGCGATCATGGATTGGGAGAGGCCCAGGAATGCGAAGGAGATACGTAGTTTCCTTGGCTTAGCGGGGTACTATCGTAAATTTGTTGAGAAATTCTCCGTATTGGCGTCTCCATTAACGAAGCTCACAAAGAAAGGGGCCAAGTTCATATGGGACGATAAGTGCGAGAAGGGGTTCCTTGAATTGAAGAAACGACTTACCGAAGCACCAGTCCTGGCCCTACCCATACAGGGTATAGGGTACGACATTTACAGCGATGCTAGCATCCAAGGGCTTGGATGTGTACTAATGCAAAACGGTAAGGTGATTGCCTATGCTTCTAGGCAATTGAGGAAACACGAGGTGAACTACCCTACTCACGATCTAGAGTTGGGGGCGGTGGTGTTTGCATTGAAGATTTGGAGACATTATCTCTACGGGGAGACGTGTCACATTTATACTGACCATAAGAGCTTGAAGTATGTATTCACTCAGAAAGAGTTGAATATGAGGCAGAGGAGATGGATGGAGTTGATCAAGGACTATGACTTGATCATCGACTATCATCCCGGAAAGGCCAATGTAGTGGCCGACGCACTGAGCAGGAAGAGTACGTCAGGGACGCTACTCACATGTCTACAAGCATTGAGGGCACACGTGGAGGTATCCACGAGCGGGGCGCTCATTGCTAGATTCGAGGTGAGGCCTACATTGCTGAGCGAGATCAGTAGATGTCAGGCCATTGATGAGGAATGTCAGAAGATCCGCGAACGGATCCTTGAGGGGCCCGTCGAGAATTTTCGGGTACGTGATGACGGCCTTTTATTATTTAAGGATCGTGTGTGCATACCAAAGAATGAGGAGCTCCAGAAGGCTATACTTGAGGAGGCTCATTCTTCAGCATATGCCATGCATCCAGGGGGTACTAAGATGTACCGAGATCTGAAGGAAAGTTACTGGTGGTCAGGCATGAAGAAGGATATCGCAGAGTTTGTGAGTCGATGCCTTACTTGCCAGCAAGTTAAGGCAGAGCATCAGCACCCAGCAGGGCTCTTACAACCACTCGCCATCCCAGAGTGGAAGTGGGAACATGTGACCATGGACTTCGTGGTGGGGCTGCCACGAACAGTGAACAACTACGATGCAGTATGGGTAGTGGTTGATAGGCTCACCAAGAGTGCACACTTTCTGCCTATCAACATTACTTACCCTCTTGAAAGATTGGCCAAGCTATACACGGAGGAGATTGTGAGATTACATGGAGTCCCAATATCCATTGTCTCGGATAGGGATCCACGATTCACATCCCGATTTTGGCCAAAGTTTCAAGCATCTTTGGGGACTAAACTGAAGTTTAGCACAGCTTTTCACCCACAGACGGATGGACAGTCCGAGCGGGTGATACAGATTTTGGAAGACATGCTTAGGGCATGTGCTTTGGAGTTCCAAGGAAGTTGGGACAAGCATTTGGCCCTAGTAGAGTTTGCCTATAACAACAGTTATCAGGCAAGTATCGGCATGCCCCCATATGAGGCATTGTATGGGAGGAAGTGCAGAACACCATTGTGTTGGGACGAGGTTGGCGAGGCCAAACTCGAAGGGATAGAGCTAGTTGAGATCACCAAGGCCAAGGTGAGGATCATTCGGGATAGATTGAAGGCCGCTCAGGACCGACAGAAGAGTTATGCTGATAAACGGCGGAGACCGTTGGAGTTCGAAGTCGGTGATGAGGTCTTCCTAAGGATTTCTCCTTGGAAGGGCATCATCCGATTCGTATCGAGGGGGAAGCTTAACCCCCGATACATAGGTCCGTTTGAGATCCTTGAAAGGATCGGGGCCGTGGTTTATCGTCTCAAGTTGACGCCTGAACTTGAGAAGATACATGACGTGTTTCATGTATCAATGCTCAAGAAGTACATACGAGACCCATCTCATATTCTTGAGAAACCACCGGTAGAGATCCGTGAGGACTTGCAATATGCGGTGGAACCAGTGAAGATTGTTGGTCAACAAGTGAAGAAGCTTAGGAATAAGAAAATTCCTATGGTAAAGGTTCTTTGGAGGAGTGATCGAGTCGAAGAAGAAACTTGGGAGACCGAGGTCTCAATGAGGGAGCAATACCCACTTCTTTTCGATTAGATACTTGGATTTCGGGGACGAAATCCCAAATAAGGGGGGGTGAACTTGTAACACCGTCCCCAAATATATTTACTTTTATGTAAATAGTGTATTGAACCATATTAAAGGATTTACGAATTTACGAAGTTGTAAATTCTTATTATTTCGTTCGCGTGAATAGTAAATTGCACGTGGGACCCACACCAGGGGCGGGGGCCGCCCGGCATTTCCGAGACTATATATTTTATTCATCTTGGTCTAGATAATAAATATATAGTGGTGGATATTTCATTTGGGCAATGGAAAGGCCCAGAGTTGACCGATTGGTCAAAAGAAGCCCAAATTACCGGTACTGGTAATTTAACAGATATCAGCCCGGAAATGAAATTCGGAGACTCCTAAATCAATGTTTTGGAATATATACTATTTCAAAAGTCCATTACGATTGAGGACACATAATATATTTTATTTTACCCGATAAAATAAAATATGATTAAAACAGTCCGAAAAATACAACTTTCGGGACCGATTGTACACCTCGGGACACAAAGGGATGACCTCCCACATGAGTGGGGGCCATCCCACGTTTTATTAGCTCCATGTGACCCCTTGGGAGCTGCAAGGACAAGGGAAGGTGGGAGGAAGGTCAACCATGTGGTAGGATGGGACCCTTTTCCCCCATAATTGGTGAGATGAGCCAAAAAGGCCATCCTATCACCCCCTCACCCCAATAGCTCGACCAAGCCACCCAAGAAAGAGAAAGAAAGGCTCTCCAACCCTCCTCCATTGCTGCAACTCGAGCTCAAGCAAGAAAGGTCCAAGGAGTGGGATTAAAGAAGGAAAAAGGGCTAGGAAAAGTGTGTAAATCAAGGTAATGACCTTATTATAACTTCTCCTTTATTTTTCTTCTACCATATAAGATATATATCATGTGAAGGATCCTTAAGAGGGTTCTACATGTTATGAGTATGGATTTATGGGTTGGGAAGTGATTCTATGTCCAAGAACGGACTTAGAAGTCAAAACGACCGGTTCACCGGAAAATAACCTTTTTGAGGTTATTTGTATTAACATGGGTTTTATGATTATAAAACCTTGTTAGGCACTTGTAAAGGGTATTTCAAGTGATTTCACAAAGTTGGAAAAGTCGCCGGAATTGTCGCCGGAGTTGACCAAAAGTCGCCGGAGTTTCACCGGAGTTCAACCAAGAAGGGTAGAACTTCTTAACGCTAGTTCAAGGTGAGTGGACGGCTTAATATCTTATAACTTTTGGGTCAATTATGAGATTACCTAAATGAATGTTATATGTGTTCATAATGATGTTTAAAAGATATTTAAACATGTGATTAGCCAACATAGTTAAGTGCGTATGAAAAGAATAATTGTTTATGCATGAAATATGATATGAGAAATTATATATAATGCATATTTGTTTTAAGAGTAAAAGAAGCACAATGGAGATTATTAACTTAATTATATGATGAATTAGTTAATAAGTGTAAGACTTGAGATGGCGGTCAACAACAACGTTGACCGATGGTAAATGGATTAATTAATATCGGTTGATATTAGTTAATTATACATTTATATGGTTGCATGGATTTGCATGGATTGTGATACATAAGCTTTATGTAGTGAATTAGTTATGAATGACTAAATATGATATAGACCCTATCTAGCGTGATATGTGGTAAGTCATAGGTCGGGTGGAGTACCCAAGGATCGGGCGGTTATCCTCAAAACTCGGTTATATAGGGTGGAGTACCCAAGGATCGGGCGGTTATCCTCAAAACTCGGTTATATAGGGTGGAGTACCCAAGGATCGGGCGGTTATCCTCAAAACTCGGTTATATAGGGTGGAGTACCCAAGGATCGGGCGGTTATCCTCAAAACTCAATTATAGGGTGGAGTACCCAAGGATCGGGCGTGTATCCTCAAAACTCATAGATTTCAGTTAATGATCTAGGACCGGGCGGTGTCCTTATGATAATTTATTTGAACAAGGAGGAGTTCTATACACTCATAGGTATATGGGTGGGTTGGGATTTAAGTCAAGGATATTGGCAACTATTATTTTCCCAAATAAACAATGACCTACGGGTCGGGTATTTCCAAGTGTATGTATACTAATATGTATTTCAAACTTGGGGGAAGGATTATACGTATATGTATCACCCTATGTTTGGGTCCTATACTTGAAACGTTAGTTATTCTATATTTAGCCTGCTACTCGCTCGGTACTTGTACTGACCCCTTCGGGGGGCCCCACCATTTTCAGGTTGAAGCTAGGGCTTGCTACCTGCACCTTTCTACGGGTGACATCAATCAAGGAAGACGTGGTTCGTGCTTCCTCATTTTATTTCAAATTACCAAACATTGCTCATGGATATTTTTATTTGTCATAAACTATTCTTTTGGGGCTTGCATGCCCATGTTATTGGCCGATTGTGGCTTATGACTTACCGTTGAATATTTCCGCTATTCATTGGTTTAAATGTGATGTTGTTATGTATGTTTACTACTGAGTATGGATGGATTATTTTCTCGAACGCCTTGTGTAATCAAGTGAGGTTGACTCGCGGGTGACGTCACTTGATTATGCGGCGGTTGTACACGCGCTTGGATTGCGGTCTGGGGCGTGACAACTGGGGCCTCCGAATTCTTTAGAGGGCTCTGATCATTACCTTTTTGAAGAAGACTTTTTCTCGTTGTACTTTTAAATATATAGGAACATTTGACAAAAATAATCTTACCCTTGATCGATCTTCTCTTAATAATTCTACATTTATGTAATCCCAAAATAATATCACCATTGTACCTCACTTCTTTCATTGAACACTAATCGATTGATCATGACCTAATATACTACTCCCTCCGTCCCAAAAAGATTGATCAAATTGACTTTTCTTGCTCAACAGTGATCAACTTTGACCAATGATAACTTTTAATACAAAATTATTTGAAATATGAAAATTATATGAGCTTATTCTTTATTAAAAACCCTTTCATAAAAGTATAAAAATAATAAATTACATATAAATAAAATACATAAAATCATTGTCTAAACTTTAATACCATTGACCAAGAAAAGTCAAATTGGCTAACCTTTTTGGGTCGGAGATAGTACGTTTTTTTCTTTTCTTTGGAAACCTTACATGAATAATTTCATCTTTCACAAATCTACTTCAACCTTACATGAATAATCCCACCTTTTATTCTTATTTCTTTTCCATATATATTATTCTATTTTTCACTCTATTAAGAGAGTTTTTTATGTACAATTTCATTTCCAATAGATTTTCTTGTCGTTTTGTTTTGGATTATTAGTTAAATATATTCTCAACTATCATCAAATTCACAAATATATCTCATATATATTTTCACTTTTATTAAAAAAGATATAAACTTCAACTTTTATCACAATCACACTTTCAATGGCTGAATTAGTAAAACATATTAGTAAAACTCCCCAACTAGTACTTTTTTTATTTTCCTTTTTATGTTTCTCTTGTTAATTCATTCTTTTTTTTTATCAAAAATCTTTTTTCTACTCTACTTTTTTTATTGTCTTTTTTTAATTTTTACTTTTTCTCTTTTTTTCTTTTTGTTACCTTTTTATGTTTTTCATCTTTCTTCTTGTTATCTTAATTACACCATCAATATATATTTTTCATTCTGCAATATCGTATATTTTTAACATGTAAGTCTGCCCATTAATTTTATCAACTACTAGTATGAGAAAATCTCTATGCCATGAAAAAATTAGGGAAATATAAAATTGAAAAAAAAACATTCGGGAAAATATAAGAAAAATAAAACATTCTCGAAAAACAAAATTACATTTTCCCAATTATTTTATTTTTATTTACATTTCCTGAATGTTTTATTTTTCTTTACATTTTTTCTCTCTAATCTTTTTATCACTTAGAGTTTTTCCACAATTGATGGAATTAATGGGTGGATTACTTAGAAAAATAGGATAATGAAGAAAGGAGAAAAGAAATATTGATGGTGGAATTAAGATTATAAGAAGATAGAAAAGAAAGAAGGAAAACATATAAAAAAAAGTAACAAGAATAAAAAGGTGGAAAAGTGAAAATAAAAAGGAAATATGTAGTATAACAAAGAGTAGAGTGTGAAAAAGATCTTTACTAAAAAGAGAATGATTAAGAAGAGAAACATAAAAAGTGAAACGAAATAAAAATACAAGACAAAATGACCAAAAAAAAAGCTATTTGGGAGGAAATCGTACAAAAAATCTCTCTTGATAGAGTGAAAAATAGAATAATAAACATGGAAAATAAATAAGAGCAAACGGATGGAAAATGAATAAAAAAGTGTCCAAAATAAAGCAAGAAAAAATTTAGGGAGGAATGGGGGAAAATGAAACATGAGACTGTTTTGAAATTTATATTACAACTTTGTTTCTTGTACCCACCTCTAATACTCACCCCACCAAAACCGCCCCGTGCCTCAAACACATTGATATCAATTTGGGCTGGTTTAGACTTAAGAGTACTAGTTCAGAGTATCAATTCCAGTCCGAAACTCAAAAAAACAAGTGCCACTTCAGTTCCTTAGCGCTATACATGGCCATATTACTACTCCAAAACATGATGTGATTATCTATGAGAATGTCATGATCAAACAAAATGTTACTAAAATTACAATACTTTTGGCATTTTTCAATGCTAATCCTATAGTTCAAAATAATATGACCTCATATGCAAACTCTGCCTGATTGTGAAATGATGAATTAAATATCTAAATTACAAAGCAGGTTCTAAAATAAAATATAATAAAACATGAAAAGTGGATCATGAAACAAGCTCGGAAAGGTAAGAAGTGAAACACGAAACTGCTTCCTGTAGATGGCATTTCCGAAGGTCTTCAGAGATGGGCGCCTTAAACACGGTATCAAAACACCACAGTTGAACCTCTCTTGTCGAACCTTCACAGGTATGGGATAGAAGCAGGTTGCATATTTCCTCACCCATCATTGAATATACAACCCTGGTTTATAAATAAAATAGATTTTTTTTGTACATTAATAAACAAATAGACTTCGTTGGATTGAAATAGACATACTACATCTATTATTATAAAATAATCAATCAACATATAATATAATGGGCTATTCTTTCTATCACATTAGCTTTTTAATACAGTTTAGAAGTGCACTTCTGTTCATTCTCAATATCAAAAGAATAAGTAGATCTTGACTTACTTAGCTACTTGGCTGCGAATGCTTTTCATTCAAAAAAACAATAATTTCAGCCATTTCATTTCAGCGAAATATATATTACCATAAGGGCCCTACTTTATGATATAAAAAAAGGCCCAACTAATAATTTATTTTCTACCATCTTCTGAGTTTCATGTTCCGAGAAAACAAAGGATAAAATGTTTCTACCGTGTTCTGAGGTTCATGTTCCGAGAAAACAAAGGATAAAATGTGAATATTGGGTTAAACGTGGAGTGAAAATCAGGGTAGTCAAATTCAAGATCCTATGTAGGATCGGATTGGGACCTAAAGATCGTAAATCGTAGGATCTAACTCGATCGTGTGATCCTACATATACATATGCATGTGTTTGCATATACGCTGCATACTAAAGTAATACACTAAAATAACACTCAGTAATATACAACTCCATATTAAACAAAATTAATAAATTAAACTAATAAAGTAATAAACTAAAATATTATTTGGCCTGATCGATTCATGTTAACTAACCCTAAAATATTTTGGGACCAAGGCTTGGATGTTGTTGTTGTAATAAACTAAAATGCTAATATAGTAATAAACTAAAGTAGAAAACTAACATAATATAGTAATAAACAAAGTAATAAATATGTTACAAGAAATGTACCGGACCACCCGGCTCTGGAACCGGTCCGTAGAGTCCAAACCCGTAAATGTGCCTAAAACCGAAATTGACCAGCGACTCGGAATTAACCAGACCGCACCCAGAACGGTTAAAAACTGGAAATCAGTGAAACCCGGTTAATGTACCGGATTCCTCAATTAAAAATTCTACAACCAAGGGGTTTACAACCAGGGAAGTCTGCTTGGCTATACACAGGTATCACCATCCATGCTACTTGGTGGATATGTCCATATGTTGCTTTGGTCTTCTTTATACTTTAGTTACTTGACATTTTAACGCTCACAATTTTATTATTATTATTATTATTATTATTACTATTATTATTATAATTATAATTAGCAATCATAATAGTATTATTATTGCTACTACTATTAGGGGTGGCAGCGGGTCGGATTTTCACCGGGTGGAGGCTCATCCACGTCCACCCGTTAATTTTTTATACTCCAACCACCCGTCCATCATCCATTAAAAATTACATCCACATCCAACCCGTCCATCTTGAACGGGTTATCGGGTGGATCAGGTGAGTAGCGGGTGAAATATAAATGGTCAAACTTGAGACCAAATAAATAAATTACAAAGAGAAATCATGACAATTAAAAACCAAAAATTAAGAATTCATTGTAAAATATATAACAACAAAAACATGAGCAATTAAGTATATTACAATCATTAATTCACTATCGATGGTAAAGAAAAAACTGAATGTTAAACAAAATAGACATAAAACTTCTTCAAGTTGTTAAATTCTGCATTTATGCATCGGCACAAAACTATTTTTGCTATTTAACTGCCATCATTATTTAACTGCATTTATGCATTGACACAAAACAAAGCTCTCCATATATCTTAGTTTCACCAATTAACTATTATTATTATTATATATTATTAAATATATATAATATATATTATATATTATATACTTATATGCGGGTCAGCGGGTGGGTGGAACAGGTGACGGGTCGGGTGATGGGTTGGATGAGCCTTCATCCACACCCGATCCATCCCGTCTTTCGATCCACCCGTCATCCATTTTTCATCCATACTTCTTCGGGTTTTCATCCATATTTTCGGTTCGGATTGACCGGGTATCCACGGGTGTGGGTGATATTGCCAGCCCTAACTACTATACTCATAAATATTCATATAATAAACTTATATTTATCAATAATATTTATAATTTTTATACTTCGTATATGAATATTATTTGAACATTATGTTCACATATTATATATCTAATTCCTAACATTTTTTAACTTTATGATTTTTTTTGTATTTGGTACATTAGTTTTTCATTCTTATAACTATTATTAAACTATGAATGAGGGTAATTTTTAACCTTGCATCTTTAAACTAATATACATTTATACATCTTTATGGTTTACTTTTTCATAAATATTGACCAGACTGGTCCTCCCGGGTCCGGGTTGACCCTTGACCCGGTCATTTGTCCGGCTCACCTCCGGGTTCCGTTTCGATAACATAGAGTAATAATATAGTACTCCATATTAAACAAAAGTAATAATATAGTACGAAGTAATAAACTAAAGTAATATAGTAAAAACAATCCAGAGGAATTACACAGAATTATAGAAATAAACAAAAGTAATGTGTAGTACACTGAAAGTGAATAGAAAAAAAGTAAGAATAATATAAATAAAAAGTAATAATAATACTACGTATAAGAAAAGTAAACTATTATCGCAATACTCAATCACAGCCCAGGGTAACAAGTACAGTTGAAGTGGGTCTACACTTCTACAATACTAGGCCAAAACACAAATACAGAGAAAAAGCGAGAAGGGATGATGGAGGTGTCAAAAGAGCAAAAGGGTCTTTTTCGTTTTTAAAAATTTGCTCAATTTTTGACAACCCCAAACGAAA